CTGTTGACAGAGTGATCGCGAGCTACCAGATATTGACAACTGCTCTCTGAAAATGCCCTGCATATTAAGGCTGCTGGACAGAGGCACCACATGGTGCCTGTTCATTGGGGTGCCACACCAGCTTCAGAGACATCTTGTCTCTGATGACAGGAGCCTGATGGGCTGCTATGTGGGGGCTGGTAACTTGTATTGTGGGTGCGTTTATTGCTCCATGGAGTGGCTCATAGGGTGGCCACTGGTTATCATGACAATGCTCTGATTAATCTCCAATGTCTGTCCAGGGAGCACAGCACTCACAATGCTGGGTGTAAACCACCTGGGACTATTTCAAGCCCACCAGGGATTAACTTTACCCCCTCTCTCAAGGTAACCAAGAGGTTACCTTGTTGATGCCCGCAAAAGAAAAAAGCGACCAGCTCTCGATACCTGCTTTCAATCCAAAATAATCTAGACCTGCCCCCTCTGACCTACTGACCCTAACCATGACCAGCAATGGACAATTACAGAGCTGGCTATAATGCCAACAATTTGCTAATTTGGGTAATTCAAAAAGTTGTTGTTTCTGCAGAAGTGTTTGAAATGTCCAGTTATAAATTGATATTTTTTAATGGAAAAGTTGACTTATAAATCGAAATACACTTTCTGGTTTGTTCACTAAATGGAGAATGATGGTAAATTGAAAGCTGACTTGCAAAAAGCAAGACACAATAGTCAGTAATTTGGATATTTAAGCCTGAATTGTAAGATTTATTTTTCAATTTACCACCATTTCCTGTTCAGCGAATAAACCCATTTTTGTCTGTAGTTATCAGATAGGCAGATCACTTAGTGTTAATGTACAATAGTTTTCTACTAGCATTAAACTGAATCTATTGCAATATTGCTCATGTGGTCCTAAAACTTGATATTAATAGGACAGATAAACAGGAGGTAAGTGTGCAATTATCAAGAAACTACATTTTCAGTGCCTTGCATAGATGTTAATTTCTAAAATGTTTTCTAATTTTGTAGTGTTCTGTGGAATTAAAATGGATTTTAACCTTCTAAGTTACACAGTAAAGCTATCATAATGAAAGTGTGAAATATATTAGAGCGATACAAACGTTAACCACATGAAATAAATATATTGCTGCTGCAACTTGTATGTGCATTTCCAAACGTGTCCCACAAAATTATATCAAAGAATAAATAGGTGCTTCATTATACTCTATCAAGCATAGACCGGCTAATTAATCCACAACAGCCAGGATAAACACCATTCAGGCACTACAGAGTCTGGGGTAGGCAACCTCTGTCACTGCAGATGTTGCAGACTTCATCTCCACTGATACTTTGCCAGCATTATGGCTGTAAGAGTATTGTGGGAGATGTAGTCCATAAATGGAATGCCGAATGTTGACTTAGACCATGTTCTTTAAAGCCATGGCAAATAGGAGGGAAGCTAGGTACTCATGAGACCTGGGAGGACATTCTAGCTAACCCAGCTAGAATGTGAACTGTTGAGAGGCTTATCGCCTCTCTATTAAAGAACTGAGAGCTGAGAAAGACTTACTGACCTCCTGAGCTTCAGGAAGCTTAGATAATAATGTTGAGCCATTATGGACCTGTGCCTGGAAGGAGGCATTTAGCGTCTGTACTACATAACCATGTATTTAAACTAACAGGATTATTTGGTAAAGTGAGAATTTTTGGAAATTCAAAGTGAATTTCAAATTTGAAGTCAAATTGGACAAATTGTCAGTCAGCCATACTTCGAGTTCAGCTACTTTGGCATCAAGCATGATTTTCACTTTCCTGACAAGTCTCATGCGTAACCATGTAAGAGACCTCTATGTTATCTTTAATCAGTTGCACATTTCAAGGACAGAAGCCTTGTATACACCAGGCAGTCTGCATTAACAGGGGATAACGGTCACCCAAACACACCTGAACATTTATTTCAGAATCAAACTATTTTATAACTCATACATTCCTTTTTCTCTCCTTCCTATTTGAAATCCAGACCTTACTGGTGGGAATGATGATGGAGGATGGAGATGAGTTGCGAGGAGTTGAAACTCATTAATATGTTCTTCACATGCATTGCACAGCTCCATTGAAATAATCACTACCCAAACTCCCACATCTTTTTTTTTTGTCCAACAATTTTATTGATTGGATTGCATTATCATTCCTAGCGCAATTCAGGCCTAGATATCAACCATGAAGGATTGTTCCACAGAGACGCTTCTTTGCCATATTTTTTTTTTAGTTAATTAAAATGAGAGAAATTAAACCATTTTACTGTCAGCTTTGTAATATTCTCCAGTACTGCCAATAAATGCTGTACATAAATATTCTAATTTAATTAAACAGCCAATGTTGCTAAACACATTATTTGAATCTTTAGGATCTTAGAAGTCAAAGCTACAGTTTTTTTTTTGTGACATGTCACAAAACTAGGTGAGGGATTTACTTGCAGAGTTGGTTCTAAATTAATCATATTTAACAAGACCTAAAATGTCAAATCGACTTCAATAAATTGCGATGACATAGCAGAGTCTTTTGAACAAATGCTGCATTTGAGGTTGTCCCCATGAGAAGAATCACAGTCCTAAAATCTACGTTCAGAGGATATGGGGTCTTGAAATCTTGCATATTTTACAGTACTCAGCATGCAGGAATTCTAGATCCCATATTTAGAAAGAGCAAAGATTATATTCTCTGGAACTAAAATGAAATTGACTCATCCTGTATCCAGTGAGTAAACACTGCCTTTGGTTTTGAGACCCTATGCCCATGTGTATATAATTTATTGAGTAAACAATCACAACATTACGTTCACTGATTAATCGTTAGCCCACACTTTGGGACATAACAGATAACTTATAGGAACAGAGGGGAGCTCAAATATAAATGGAGAACTGAACACACCAGCATTAAATATGTATTTTTATTTTTCATTTAAGTAACAAATGGCTTACCATACCCATGATAAAAAATTTTGACTGAATCTTAACTTCATAATAGCCACCACACACTATTAAATGCTCTTATTATGTTAAACCAGACTTCACTCTAAGCAGATTTCAATCTTCTAATGTTTTAGGATCTAGAACCTTTCTATCTTTCATCCTATGGCCTTGCATTATCTTTTCTTTCTTTCCTCCATTTTGTTAAAGCAATGCTTCTTCTCATTAAACTCTTAATACATTTACAAGTTGCTATCACATCTCCACTGTCCTTCTTAAAGGTACATATTAACAGAATAGCTCTGTGTAAATTCCTACCCTAGGATTTAACTCCACACCGCGATAGAATTAACTGCAATCTCCCCTTCATTTGCACTCACTAGAGGTAAAGATGGGATATCAGAACTTTGATTTGCCTTTCCTTATTCGGCATGTAGAAGATGGGTTGTTTATAATGGAGAAAGTGTCCAAATATGTGGTGAATCTTGGTCACCGGGGAGATGTTAATTTACACTTCGAAGACCTCTTTGGATAGGGAACGGATTTGGAGGGTTCTTTGCCTACTTACCGTAAAGGAAAGCGACGGAAAATCCACATTAGTCGCCACAGAATATTCCGTGGTCATTGTTTATATGGAAAATGTTTTGTTAGTTTATTAATTGCATGTCTTTTTTTTTAAATCTTTATTTATGGTGTGCCTGTGGTAAACAGCTTGATATGCCACAACAGCATTTACAAGCATAAACAGAACAGGATTTTTAAATCTATGATGTGGCATTCAGGTAGTCTGCACATTTTTATTTTGTAGTATGTAAGAGAAACAAAGTACACACCTAAGTTCTGAGTGGTACATATCACACTGATAAAACAGGAAGTAGATATGGGTGCGTATAGGGCTCATCATCCAAGGCTCTAAGGTGGGAATAGGTGGTCTAATGGGTAATAGTAGTATGTCTGGGGCCTGTGGGGCAGGGGTAGGTAGTAGTGAGTAGATTGGCACAAACCATATCCCATGAGCGAGGTCCTAGGTATGTGAGAGAGACTGTAGGGTGTAAGAACTCCATAACCCTGGGGTTCAAAATGTGTCAAGACCTGTCAGTGTGCCCAGTTCTTCCTTAAGCACCGCAAGCTCTGATGTGAAGAAGGCTTTGAGATCAAATATCATGCCCAAGAGGTCCACCTTGGTAGCCAATTGGGGTTCCGTCTGCCTGTGTGGCAAAGCTTGATTGCTTCGTTGTTGTGTTGGCATGGGCACATCGCTGAAATCTTCATCCTCTGAGGCAGAAAGCGAGTCCAGTGCTTTATTAGGTAAGAAGTTCAACATCTTGGGCATGCAGGGCCGGGAAAGTAGCTGGCCGATATCACGGGTGAGTCCTGTGCTTTGCCCCCGAGCCTTTTTGGAGTGCTTTCCCATTATGTACTAAGGGTCGCAGCTGATTTAGGTACCGAAGGGTGAGGCAATGATCCACTCTGCAGTGCTGTATTTGTGCGTTTTCCGGACAAAATACAAATATAGAAAAAAGTGCAAACTCTTTCACTAGATCACTTCGTGGTATTATAATTTCCACCAATATTGCTATTATAGCATATAATATAACACCAAGTGTTCTAGTAGATGAAAAGGTATATGTAAAGATCTAGTAGATGAAAAGGTTTTTTTTTCCTCCTTTTTTTTAAATCAATCCCTGTCCATTGTGATGAGCCATTACAACCTCAGTAATTTCCATGAAATCTAAATTCCTGGTAAATGACAACGCTTGAGGTCAATCTATCAACTGATGCGATTTTTACAGTTGAAGCTTTAAAATAACCACAAGGGTCCACTTATGCTGGACTTCCCAAATAATACAGCTCAGGCAGAGGTGCAGTGAATCACTAGTGGTCACAGCAGTGGACATACTTGAAATAGAAGCCATTTTGCACATTCACACTTGTAAGATACTAAAAAATAAATGTAAAAAACAAACCTGTTTATAGCTTAAAGATTAATGATTGGTTATCTCTGTTCTAGATGGTCTGTGAGTTAATTGAAATTCACTTAGCTCTGGTGTATGTTCATTAATTCAACTCGTGAGATTCATGAGATGATCAGTGGGTGAATGCGCACTGGGCATAGCGTTGCAGCTTTACAATGATTAACGAGTACAGAGCACATGCAGCAAATTTTACTACTTAATTTTATTATATGCAGCAGCATTGCTTCACTTAAATATTATATATTTAAAAAAAAAAACAAAAAAAAAACTTTTACATGATAGCTGTTAGTGGAGTAATTTTATGTTATTTATAACAAGGGACATTAAATCTTTACTTCGAGCACCTCCATTCCCAAAAGTACATGATAACATAATCCACTTATATATTGCTGGTTACTAAAGTTTAAATCTTTTAACATTTTCAGTGTGGACTAACGTCATGAGAAAGCAGTTTGTGTAACTGGTAAGATTAATGCTGTGGGAATGTTCACTCATATTCATCTGTTTATGCAACACCCTAGCCCATTACAGGGAACACAGGCTATACAACAAAATAGAATATAATAATCAATATAGAAGTTTGGAATAGATAACTAGGTATGATGGCAGAAGGCATTATGTAAAATCAGAAGATCTCAAGGGGGTGGTAGTGCGATGTAGTTAAAATACAATGTGGCAGCACTCTATAAAACCTAAGTGCACCATATTAAAAGTGCCAGAACTCCAAAGTGCTCCCCCATAAGACCATAGCATACTGAACCAATGGATGGTTTCAGCAGGTTGTTGAAGAAAAATGCCAGATGATGTTTGTAACTATCAGCATTTAACTAGAGACACTGTATGTCTCCGGCCTAAACAAGCTGATAGATGACGGCCTCTTAAACATGAATCAGTTTTGTCTATTTGTACATAACAGACCAGAGTATATAAAAGAAACAAACATACAATGTATAACAAACAGCCAACAAAAAAAGCATTATAAAAAATAAATAAAATTAAAAAAAGTCTTCATCATGAATATCTAATGTGCGAAGTTCTCATGGGTTTAAATTTATTATTTTATTAGGAAACCACGTAGCGCACTAGTCCTTTACTACGTATCTCTCGTATACGGTGACAATGCCGTAAAATGCTCAACATACTATGGAAACGTTTGTCGACCTTCACTTGAGTAAACTCTCTTATATCTTGATCAACAACGAAAAACTGCCCTGTGGAGAGAAAGTTAAATATGAGTAAGGCAATTTCTCAGCGTTCATATTTTATATCAAAACGAGAAATGTAAAACATTCTGTCCCTTAAATCCTTAGTTCAATATAAATATCTTGAATTCCAGTGCCGGTTGATGAAGAGATGCAAGCACTCTATACTTTGGGTGTGTTTAGGAAAACAGTTTTCTGTGCTTTTTCTTCGAGATATTTGTAACAAATGTTTAATTTTGGAACTGTTTTATTGATAGTAAAGTTGCATTGAAGACAAAGTGATAGAGTAATTAATGGATATATTTAGACAACCTGAAGCAGAAGTCCAGTGGTCACTTACATTAGTGCCCAAAGCTCAGAAAGAGCACACATTTCCAAAAGATTGCACTATGGGTAAGAACTAGGGTTCTTTCACTAAAAACCCATTAGAACATAGCCCTCCAATTAGCTAGTGTCCCCTCTATGAAGCTTTCTTTGAAGGACAGTAAAAGCCTCTTTCAACTAGACCATATTGAAGCTACTGTAGTCACGTGATCACCATACAAATGCTGATCACCAGATGCTAAAGAAAATTACTGCTAGACCATTTGTCAACCACGTGCTTAAAATGGCACTGACATGCCGAACTTACCTTTTCCCAATCACTTCCTCTTCTCTCCCTCTGTCAGGATCTGTTCTTTTTCTCTTTCGATCTGATCTAGTTTTCTTTAACCCCTTAAGGACACATATTCTGTCATGATTCCCTTTTATTTCAGGAGTGATGTCCTTAAGGGGTTAAAACATAAGACAAACTAGGGACTATTTTGTCTTATGTATTTTTCCTACAACTGACCAGCGGAGGAACAAAGTGTGCTAAATTTCCTGTGGTCAGAGCAATTTCCCACAATACTCACCTCTCCCCCGTGATCTTGCAACACTTCCTTTCAGTATTCCTGAACGCCAGCAAAACTACCGAATTTCGTCCTAACAGAATGACTATAGTGTTAGAACGCAATTCGGAACTTCTTGTTCGGTTCGAAATTTCATTAGAATGAATGAAATTCCGATCCTATTCGTGCCAGGAGTAGATAGCTCTCTAATTCTCATGGTATTAGGGAGCCATCTACTAAAAGGCTGAAAGACCTAAATTTGTCTTTCAGCCAAATGTACCAATACTAAGTAAAGATTACTTAGTATTAGTAATTAAGAGAAATTAAAATCTAATTTCTGCCCCCACTCGCTATATTGCGAGTAGAAGCATGTCTACTAAACAGTGAGCCTCACTGTTGTAATAAATTTATTTTTTTTAAAGTGCGCTTTGGTGGAGCAACTATAACAATCATTAATGGGTGGGGGGCATAGTGTCGTCAACGTCCCCGAGCCCTCACTCGTGCACCGCGAGTGGGGGCCACTAACTGGGGGACTTAGTGTCCCCACTCGAACCCTACCCATGAGGGGTGTCGGGCTCCTCCAATGACAGAATTGGTGGGGGGCTACTGTCTCCCCCCCTTCCATGCTTGCCTTTCTAAACCCTTTAACCCCTTAAGGACACATGACATGTGTGACATGTCATGATTCCCTTTTATTCCAGAAGTTTGGTCCTTAAGGGGTTAAATGAAAAATGGGTAGGGGGAGAACCTACTGCCTCCCCCCCAGCCCCCACCCATGATAGGCAGGTGGGGGCCCTTAAATAACAAAATGAGGGGGACTCTACTGTCCTCCCCCCAAATGACAGAAGGGAGGGCTACAGTCTACCCCCCATGGTCCCCACCCTTGAATGACAGAAGGGGGGGGCCTACCCGCAGCCTAAAAGACAATGGGAGGAATCTATTGTCGTTGTCGCCCACTCCCCCGCCCCTCCCCCATGAGGGGCGGTTGGGGGCCCTAAATAAAAAGGGGAGGGGGTACCTATTGCCCTCCCCCCTGGCCCCCAACCATGTGGGGGAATCTAAAAGACAATGGGCTGCTTACTGTTTAGTAGACATGCCCGCCATAGACCAACATAGAGTGAGGGAGGACATGGGGGGGGAGGGTTAGGAGCACAGCTCCCCGCCGCTGCTATTTTTACATATTACAAGGAGGGAGCTGCGAGCCGGTAGCTCCCTCCTTGTAATAAACTAAACGAACACCGATATTCGGTGTTTGTCTGTTCGTCTGAAATTTCTATTCATTCCTTCGTCTCTCTGACGAATGAATGAATTGACGAAATTCCCGTCCGAATTACAGACAATAAAGAATGCCCAGGCGTTAAACTGGGCATGCGCAGGAATTTTACAGCACTATCCAGTGTGGGCAGATGACGTGTCCCACAGGAACTTCATCTGCCCACACAAAGATGGCGGCGCCCAGGACCTAGGTCCGGGCATGAAATAAAGATACAAAAATAGGTAATATGGGGGTAGTAGTGGCATTTGGAGGTGACTAAGGGGGACAATTAAATGTAGTGGAGTCGGGATGGGGGTTGAAGCAAAAAAAAAAAAAAAGCTGGATTCGGCCATGACAGTGCCACTTTAAGCCATTTTTAGGAATCAGCACCGATTGCATGTAAACCCCAAAATTATGCCAACATTAATGCTTTTTTTCAGCAGACCTTTTAGAAAAAATGGTTCTAATTTTACAAAAAGTGTACATGGTAAACAGCACGGGAGATACTTTATTTCATAAATATTTTAATAATGTACACATTATGGTTTGACATTTGTTTTAAGTTTCCAAAAGAGCAAAACTCAGGATTCTATATATGTTTTTCTATTTAAATAAAAAATAGCACTTACACAATAAAATGTATTACATTTTTGTTGCATAGGAAGGCATTCCTAGGTTAATTTTCACCCAGAGCAGAACTGTACATTGGTACACCCCTTCACGTATGTATATTTCTTGACATTACTTGTGTGCTCTTCTAAATCTTGTGATTTTGTTACCTGTAAATAGGGGGTTATCAGGTCATCACAGATACCATCGTGGTGGCCTGATAATTTGTCTAGGCATAGGACCCCTCAACTGAAAGGAAAGGCTCTCCTCTTTCAAAAAAAGGACAACTACCCCCTTAAAAAAACAATCCCAGCATGTACAAAATATGTGCTTGGCAGTAATAGGGCTAAAGAACACAAATTGTGGTTTTGAGTTTAATACATGAAACAGTTACCTTTAGTGTCTTTAGTCTCCTCCTCCTTAAACCTGCACAGCTGTTTTCTAGCCACATTGTTCAGAGATTTTAATGGCTGGTAAAAGATCTTATATTTTCCAACAACAGCTTTGTTTATGTCTTCGATGAGGCTGTTAATATGCTCATATGGTAGACGGTTTTTCATGTATCTGGTGTCAAAAAGGGACATAAAATATTAGATTTTCTCTTTGTCACTTTAAAGAGGCACTTCTGAGATTTTCATAAAAGTAGGATCTCACACTGGGTTATTCAATATTTTTTGTGAATCAATTGTGAATGGCAAAACTTGGGCAAAAATAGTCAATTTGTGATTACAGTTGAATTGGTGAATTTTTCAAGATCAGCTATTTTGACATCAGTTTGAACATTCAGAATTAATTCTCGACAATTCAGAGTTTAGTCAGTAACCTTTGGACAATAACCCAGGCGGTATTACTCACTATAGCAATGTTTTCAGGAATTCAAAATGTTAAGCCACGAAAGACAAAAAGGAAGAATTCTCCCAACCAGCTAAGTTTTTACTTATAAATTTGAATGTCACTTTGAATTTCTGACCACACATATTGAATCATCATAATCCTGACAAACTGTTGAAATTCCAGCCCAATCAGAGTTCTCCATTCTTCTCTCACAAGATTACTGACAGTGGCTCAGTATGTTAAAAGCTCAGTCAGTCAAACACATTGTGTGAAAAGATGGGCTAGTTAAACTAAAACTCCACACACAAAGCACCACAGCTTGCTGAGGTGCTATGTGTCTCTGGAGTCTTTCATTTTCATGTCAGTTTATAAAAATGCCAGTTTCAATAAAAATCGCCAACTTTATAACTGGGAGCAATAACACTTCTGATTGTTCCACATAGCGAATGAAAGTGGCAGGTGTGCTGCTCTACAGCGTGTCTGCCTTTCCCCCTTCTCAATGAGAAGCTTCTGTTTGGAGTTTCTCTGGGGGAAAGAGGAGAACATGCAAAGGCTGCAGAAAGCATGTCTGCAGCTTTTGTAGACAAAAGCAGCAGCATGTGTTCTCTAGTGGAATATCTATGAAACTGGAATTTTTTTTTTTTTTTAAATTCATAGATGTGTTTCTTTCAAGCGGCTCTGTCAACCCAACACATACCTTTCAAATGAGTATTTGATGGCTAAGTCCATATGCCCAAGACGATGACAGAGCACCTTTAAAAATAGGACACTCCGGCACAAATACGACTAATGCATTTTATCGTTTTTCTCCTTATGATGTAATTATTTTGCATGCTTAAATCTATACTTTTTGCACAAACTTTATGTTTTGCAGACTGCTGCATCATAAACATTCTTTATTTTTTCTTATACTCCAGAAAAATATTTCATTATTAAATGTATGCACACAGCTCAACCACTGACAGCACTGAGTGATCTGAACTACAAAGCAACCTGCATTAGAAAAAATGACATCCAGGAAGATATATAGTAAGGATTTCACTAAATGTTTTATTTTTCGTTTCTCTGACTGTCTGCAGCCGTATTGTAAATTAAAAGTAGCTCGCACGGTATTGCTAAGGAAGTCTTTCTGGCATGAGACAGCGTGGGTAAGAAGGCAGGTTTATGTTTGAGCATTTTGCAAATCATGCATCATTTTGGGAAAATACTATAAAAGTTTTGAGCATGCAATAAATAAAAAATACACCATATTAAGGAGGCCAAAAGCTATCAAATGCACAAATGTTGTAATGGTGTCCCTTTAAGAGGGCTTTATTAAACTAAGTTTAATAAACAGAATTGAGCAATGATAAACATACAGCATATCTGTAGGGCCAAAACATATCAAATGTGCTTGTTGGTGCCCAGTGTGTCCATTAGATTGTCAAACTCAATTAACTCATTTGTGTTTGAGTGATCTTAAATGTTTGCACAATTTGCGCAAATTTATTTGTACAGAAAAGTATGTTGTGAGAATCGACTAAATGCACATGGATTGTAAAATGCATATTCTTTCTCAAGCCAGTACTTACGCAGGGACATTTGCAAACTCTTGCACTGTGAGCAGTTCCATTTCCTTAATGGCCTTTTCTTTAGGAGGTTTCTTTGTGGGCTCAGGAGGCACAACAACCTTAACGGCAGCCTCTGTCTCCTCACACCTATTAGCAGAATCACTAGAGAGAAATAAAAGAAAAAGTCAACCCATTTTGCAAACCTAAGTATAGCCATCCTGGGTTGTAAGAAACCACTGCTAATCGGTGCTTTTAATTAAAGTGCACAGGCAAGACCTACACATAAGAAACAACCTAAAAATATTAAAAACATAACATAGCAAGATTTTTCATGACCAGAAGTAGGAAATTATACAAAATTCTGGCTTGTTACAGAGAAAGAATCAGGAGAAATAACGTAAAAAAAAGAAAGTACTTAAGGCAATCCAGGCAGGAATTGACACACTTTTTTTTTTTTAAATGCAGTTTATAAATAAACGTATTCATGCAAAAAAAAAAAAAATATACTTCCCTTTAAAATGATTTATTTTCGGTACAAATCCCCACACATTTATTTATTGGGTCTGCCTGCTCCATCCGATTGCGTGACCATGATGTGGGCCTATGAAGTCTCAACTGTGGGGTATGTTTAACTGAGCACAGCCATGCCAAAGTGTGAAGGAGGGAACCGATTAACAGTTAGGCTCAAATCAGGTTCTTTTTTTTAGATTTCCAGCTTACTTATCAGCTTTCTACCTAAAGGGACACTATAGGCACCAAGACCATTTCAACTCATTGAAGTGGTCTGGGTGCAGTGCTGCAAGTCCCTTAACCCTGCAAAGGGAATTATTGCAGTTTTTAATAACCTACAATAATTACTTTTGTTGGTTAACTCCACCTCGAGTGGCTGTCTACCAGACAGCCACTAGAGGGACTTCTGGGTCGTTAGGCGACTTGTTTTTTTTTGGCAGTAAAGTTTCCCTTTACAAGCTCCCAGAAAGCTTTTCTGGTGGCATGTATAACTTATTAGGCAATGCCTGTAAGCAGGGAGGAGCATGAGAAAGAAAATTAAAGGTTTTACATACCTTTTTTAAGTGCAGAGGCTCCCTCAGCGTTGTTTTCCTCTCTGACTCCTGCAGATTCAATGTAAGAGGCATGGTCCTCATTAAGAAGCATTGTGGATCTGATGGTCATGTGAATGAATGTTTTCCTATAGGGGCTACAGCATCACATGACAGGAATTTACTGTCAGTGCTGCGGAAGAGCTTCTAGTGGCTATCAGTATGACAGCCATTAAAGGTGGACTTAACCCTGCAGTTTAAAGAAAAGAAACTGCCATGTTTTATATTGCAGGATGTGTTTAATCATTGCTATTTGCCTAATGTATTTTCTCTGCCCTTCAAAATACAAGCAAATAAACCGTTTTGATTAACTAGAGCACTTGACATGGATATCCTTATTTAAGTAATTATTGTGGTGGACCCTACCACCAATTTCATCTGTTTTGCCTTTTACACTCAGATCAGGGCTATCCGGGGATATAACTTTTGTAGGGTTTCTAGTTATAATGGGGGTACTTTTGAGGTACTGTATTATATGTTTTTCTCACGCACAAAGGATCCTGGGAATGAAAACCCTGCATTATTGTATTGGAGACCCCATGTAGGGGGTCTGTGCATAAAATCCGTGTGTGGTCTAAAATAAATCAGTTGACTCCCAGAACTATGTTGGATGTCTGCTTATTTTAATGGTTCCAGTTGGGCTGAGAGAAGAAATTAGCAGAGGTAACATGTCGGGTTACCCATGGTCCGCTACAATTACTAAAAGGAACACTATAGGGTCAGGGACACAAAAGGTAAGAACACTACTTAGGTGGACACCTCCCCCTTAAAGGGGATAAAACCTCACCTTTATTCCAGCGCTGCGTGGGTCTGACTCCTGATCCGCCTCCTTGGATGAGATTATCAGATTTGCCATGCTATTTCTCATAGGAAAGCATTGGATTGGCTATGGTCAATTCTGATGACCTCAGCCAAGGAGGTGGGATGGGGGAGCGGAGCCAAACACATCGCTAGCCAATCAGCATAGTCTCATAGGTATGCATTGAATCAATGCATCTTTATGGGGAAAGTTCAGCGTCTCCATGTACAGCACCTCTAATGGACATCTGAGTGACTGCCACTAAAAGGTATCTCTAGGCAGCAATGTAATCACAGCCTTTTCTCTGAAAAAGGCTGTGATTACAGCTTGTTTTGCACAGTAATGTCAGTGTGTAGCACTAACAAAGAATAGGAGGGTGTGACGAAGTGCCCCTCGCCACTTGGTCCTGGAGAGGCCTGCTTGCCAACCTCCTGCCATGTGGCTATGGTCCCTGTGAGACTTTGCCAGTTAAAAACACTATTGGTCTTATGGACTTTTATTTGGACTAGTGCTGGCCCTTTAAAAACAGTGTATGGACGTACGGAAACTTTTGGGACACTTTTTCTGCCCCTTTGAATCCATGGGAAGGTGTGCCTCTTCCCCTCCCCCTGTCCCATTGTTCTCCAGCAGGGTGTTGTCCCAGGGACACTGCCAAACCAGTTGGAACTAGCTGCTTTGTCTCTCCTCAGTCAAAATATGACTTCCACCTATCTCCTGAACCACTTAACCGATTCAAGTGCATTTTGGATAGGTTTGTCCCAAAATTATGTGGTTATAAAAATATAAAAGTTTTATTGATATCGCATGTAAACTAACAAAGTTACAAAAATGGCATAAAAGTATGTTTTTTAGCTTGGCGATAATTGAGTTGATACAGTAATTAACTCAATTATCGCCCAAGCAGAGGGGAGGATTCCTATTGTAATAAGTGGGTGTGATTATCCATGTGCCTTTATCTGATTGGTTGCTAATGTACAGTTTCAGTAGCCCACAAGGTCCACGTGGGTGGTAGCCTTGCTGGGAAACTTGCATATAAACTGGAATAAACGCTCACTGGAGTCAGTTCTTCTTTACCCTTCAAAACGTAGACTCGTCTCATTATTGGAGGGAACTGCTATGCTCTGCATACTCCCTTGAGCTTTAATCACTTAGCTCTCTTAAGAGCTTGTTCCTGATACACTCTCCAGGAGGAGAGGTCTTCCCTACACGGTCCTGGAGGACAGAAGCTGATCCAGGTTGGACAGAAGACGGCGAGACTCCAGTTAGACTACGGCGGTTGTGGAGTCTGCGGTGGTTTTGGTGTCCAGTGCGGTGCTTGTGGTCCTCGGAGCAGGCTAGGAAGCATCCATTAATGGAAGGTACTCGGTCGGAGTACAGGGAGGTCCGTTACAGAGGGCTATTCACTAAAGTTAGGAATTCAAAGTGAATTTCAAATTGAAGGCCAAAAATAGCCAGACTAAATATTCCCCAAGTCAACTATGTGTCCAGGTTGGCTATTTTGGCCTTAAATTTGAAATCCCTGGCAATTCTCACTTGACTGAATAAACCTGTAAGTACACAGAGAGAATGAGCTTTACCCCATGTAGCATGTTGTGTGACCTATCAACAACGGGTCCTTCAAAGTCAAACAGGAGCCCCTACAAGAGGCACATAATCCAAGCTTTCTTCCACTGCAGGATATAGGAAAATAAAACAAGAAATCACATGTACCTGTTACGGTGTGTAGCTTTAGAGGTAAATTACCTGCTGGGAGCTTTCTTTGGGAGATGTGTCGGAATATTCTCCTTAAGGTGAGCGGCTTCAGCAAAGTCAATCGCAAGAGCAGAGTCCAGCTCCTACAACATAAGAATGCAATTGTAAAACAAATCTGGCATTGGGACTGTGTTACATGAAGAATATAATGCCTTGTACACAAACCACATTTGTCTAAAACATTCTGATTCAAACATTTTATTTGTAAGCACTCAATGCACGGTGAAGAATTTTGAACAATGCATTATGGTTGTGAACGCATACTTACTGTACAGCAAACTACTTTTTTAACTGCAAACTACTTTTTTAACTATACATTTGATATTAAATTGACCGTCAGAGTAGAGATCCAGTTTGGCTCTTGATTGTTGAAATGTATGATTTGATAAGTTAAAGTTACTGGTATTTAAAGCATTCCCAAATAGTGTGTATTTTTTTCCATTTAATAATGCTTTTAATAGTTTAGATGATAGTCAGGGCTTGTCAGATTTCTCTAGGATTTAGGACAGGAAGAGTTGTCCCTACACACGCATACAGTGTCACCAAAACCACTTCATCTGATTGAACTGGTAAAGATGCCCAAAGTCACCTTGTGTCAGTTAACAAGTCACTGTTAAACCATTTTTTAAGGTGTTAATAGTGAATAACGGTCCCCAGGTGCCGCACAGCCCAGCCTGTCTTTGCTGCTCAGCGTAATGATTCTGCATTAGCCCAAGTAGCAATGACCATGAGCCAAATCACAGTCAACCACTGCTAGCTATACCTCCAGTGGAGCAAAAGAGATACTCAGTCCAAATGAAAAATTTTTTTGAACCATCACCAAGTGATTCCAGGCACCATAACCACTTCAATAGAACCAATTTAAGTGAATTTGATTCTTATAAGGAAGTGGCTTAAAAAAGACAGAAGCGTAGCTTTCGCTCTATTATCAAAAATACTTATGCATATCTCCTAACTCCATTTTTGAGGACAAGATTAATATCATTGCCTTGCATGTAGGTAATCACTGCATACTCTCTAGCACCGTGATTTTGTTTGTTTTTTGAAGAAATTGTCTTGTCTTTTTTTCAAAGAAAAGATTAGGGATATTTTTCAAAAACAACCATCTCATTTCAAACCAACGGTGCCACCTTGTGGTGAAAGTGCTTATTATCAATGTACTAAGAACTTACCGTATGTAAGTTACCGTATGTAAAAAGAGAGATACCCCACAGGTGTCCCTTTAAGTAGAACTACTTTGTGAAACTCAAGTTTAGCAAATGAATCTTGAATATGACATATTGTCAAGTGACAGGCACATTTAATGAGAGGAGAATAGCAACATCGAAAAATGGAATGTGAATAACTCTGATTCTAGATCTGGATGATACCAATATTGAGATCTTACCTTCAGGGAATTCGCGATGGTCTCCTGCCTCTGAACCTCTGCTTCTACTTTATTAAGAAGCTCGCACAACCCATGCATCTCATAAGCCACTTTATTAAGTACACATGTCATAGAGGGGTCCTGCCCTGGTACAAAAATGAAATAGATATTAAATAGCACACAGGACACACTAGCAGATCTTCTAAATATAAAATTTGCAGAAAGCTACATAGAATCCATAATTAAAAATGTGTTAAATCCCATTGAAAATGTGTTAAATCCATCAGCTGCCAGTATTTATGAAATTCTAATTGCCACTGCAGGCCTACTTAAGAAAAACGGTGCAAGTTGCCTATGCATATAAAGATATTAGTTAATATTCATAACATAATCCACTGGCACAGAGCAAAATTACTTTATAATGCACAAAAAAAAGACTAAAAAGAAATATTAAGTAAACCCATAAACAGTCACCAGCTTCTAAAGCAGTACATATATGTAATCATAAAAATGCTTTAGAAGCCGTTATATGACTGCTCATCTCCTCGTCAGACCTTCCATCACAATTGGATCCTACCTCCTACCCGAATGGCCCTGCTTGGGAACGATTCCCAAAAAGGAGGGCAAACCTCACCCTACATCTGTCACTCTGTTCCTACACTCATGTAGATAGTGAAAGACACGCTTGTTAGAAAGGTAACCATCACAACTAATGCAGGAAATGTCAAAACAGTAATCTAGATTTAGAATTACCTATATTCCTTAACTGTAGGGTCTTCTTGATTAGAGAAATCTTTGAATTGACATGAAAACATAAACCGTCCAAATCAACAGAGTCCATCACTAGGAACAAATGGAAAGAAGAATAATAAATTAGGACAAAAAAAAAAAGCCATTTTCTCTTAAAAAGAATATTTCAGAAAAGTGGGTCATCTAATCTTAAAGGAACTCTTCAAGCACCTAAAATACATTTGTTTCCTGAAGTGTTTGATGCGTGAATAGTGTGTCCCTGTATTTCCATTTTACAAAATATAAATAAAAAGCAGATTTCAACAGAAATGGACACTTTTATTAACTTGGTTACACCCCCTGGATTTTAAGCACACAAGCTGTCCTGTTACTCTTGTCCTGGTATTCCCCCTGAGGAAGGCTGTGATGCCGAAACATTGGGGTTTTATTGTCTCCTGCTCTCTGGTCAGTATGCCTGTTTTATTATGGATTTCTGGGTTTCTATTTTGAGCACTTACTATTGCATGCTATGCTATTTAATGTTTACATGCCTGTACTATTATCTGCACTTTTTCTGTATTATATATGCTGATCCACTTCACAAATACATTTAAAAAAAATGTATGTGCAAATTTATTCTGGTGTGTTTTGGCTTTTTTTGTCTACTAGGTTTATGGACCTCGTGGGGGGATCAAATTTTCCCTTATAGCACCTGGTAACTCTTTACTATACTAACCCACATTTACAGTTTGAGCGCTCACTTTAATTTTACATGCAAAACCGGTCCTGTTACTTCCTGGTTTGGTTAGCTCAGTGGAGCTAAACTTAAGTGGCAGCAATTGCTTAGAGCATCTGCCTTGTAAAGACTTCTAATTGAGCTGCATTGGGAAGTCTGTGATTGGACAGCCACAGAAAGTCTGGGCAGTAGAAGAAGTCTTACATACAAGAGATCTCCAGCTTTTGCAAGTGGTTTTCAGATAAATCCTCAAATGGAAAAAATCCCCAATTTTATAAAAAAAATTTGTATATGGGAAGGGGAGTTTCTCCGTATCCCTGCCTACTTTTTCACTTCCTCAACTTACATACTAAAATATTTCTTTTTTTCTTGTTCCATACTCCCCTGCAGTGTTCAATACCAGATGTACTTGTAATTAGGGAGCTCAGGAAAAAGCGAAAGCTGATATGAACGTAAAGCCCCTGAACTGAAGTTGTGAGTCTAACTGATGCTGTGTAAGAACATAGTTACATAGCTGAAAAGAGACTTGTGTCCATCAAGTTCAGCCTTCCTCACATATGTTGTTGCTGTTGATCCAAAAGAAGGCAAAAAACCCAGTCTGAAGCGCTTCCAATTTTGCCACAAACTAGGAAAAAAATCCTTCTTGACCCCAAAATAGCAGTCAGATGTCTCCTTGGATAAAGCAGCTATTACCCCACTAATTAGAAATTATATCCCTGTATGTAAGTATTTATTCAATTGCAGTTTAAACCTCTGTAGTGACTGACAAAACCACCTCTTCAGGCAAAGAATTCCATATCCTTATTGCTCTTACTGTAAAAAAACCTTTTCTTTGCCTTAGATGAAATCTTATTTCTTCCAGCCTAAATGTGTGACTTCATGTCCTATGTATAGCCCTGTTTATGAATAGATTTCCAGATAAAGGTTTGTACTGGCCCCGAATATATTTGTATAATGTTATCATATCCCCTCTTAGGCGCCGTTTTGGAATACAGATTTGGAATATTCAGCCATGCACTTTTAACTTTTGCAGTGGTGGGTTAAAGGGGCACTGTCACTGTTCAGGGACTTTGCATAATTTGAGTATCACCTTGAAAACACATTTATCCTATTTTCATGTGATGCTATTTTCTCTTGAAGGAACAATCCAAGCAATATAACCACTACAGCTTACTTTCGCTGCTCCCTGCCACCTGGCTGAGAGTAGTTAGTATCCTCAGTATATAGTATGTACCTGTATCTCTCTGGCTGAGAGGAGTTAGTATCCTCAGTATATAGTATGTACCTGTATCTCTCTGGCTGAGAGTAGTTAGTATCCTCAGTATATAGTATGTACCTGTATCTCTCTGGCTGAGAGTAGTTAGTATCCTCAGTAGCCAGTAAGCTCTGTATCTCCTGGCTGAGAGCAGTTAGTATCCTCAGTAGCCAGTAAGCTCTGTATCTCCTAGCTGAGAGCAGTTAGTATCCTCAGTAGCCAGTATGGTCTGTATCTCCTGGCTGAGAGCAGTTAGTATCCTCAGTAGCCAGTATGGTCTGTATCTCCTGGCTGAGAGCAGTTAGTATCCTCAGTAGCCAGTATGGTCTGTGTCTCCTGGCTGAGAGCAGTTAGTATCCTCAGTAGCCAGTATGGTCTGTGTCTCCTGGCTGAGAGCAGTTAGTATCCTCAGTAGCCAGTATGGTCTGTGTCTCCTGGCTGAGAGCAGTTAGTATCCTCAGTAGCCAGTATGGTCTGTGTCTCCTGGCTGAGAGTAGTTATTATCCTCAGTAGCCAGTATGGTCTGTGTCTCCTGGCTGAGAGCAGTTAGTATCCTCAGTAGCCAGTATGGTCTGTGTCTCCTGGCTGAGAGTAGTTAGTATCCTCAGTAGCCAGTATGGTCTGTGTCTCCTGGCTGAGAGTAGTTATTATCCTCAGTAGCCAGTATGGTCTGTGTCTCCTGGCTGAGAGTAGTTATTATCCTCAGTAGCCAGTATGGTCTGTGTCTCCTGGCTGAGAGTAGTTAGTATCGTCAGTAGCCAGTATGGTCTGTGTCTCCTGGCTGAGAGTAGTTAGTATCCTCAGTAGCCAGTATGGTCTGTGTCTCCTGGCTGAGAGTAGTTAGTATCCTCAGTAGCCAGTATGGTCTGTGTCTCCTGGCTGAGAGTAGTTAGTATCCTCAGTATCCAGGTCTGTGTCTCCTGGCTGAGAGTAGTTAGTATCCTCAGTAGCCAGTAAGGTCTGTGTCTCCTGGCTGAGAGTAGTTAGTATCGTCAGTAGCCAGTATGGTCTGTGTCTCCTGGCTGAGAGTAGTTAGTATCCTCAGTAGCCAGTAAGGTCTGTGTCTCCTGGCTGAGAGTAGTTAGTATCCTCAGTAGCCAGTATGGTCTGTGTCTCCTGGCTGAGAGTAGTTAGTATCCTCAGTAGCCAGTATGATCTTGTCTCCTGGCTGAGAGTAGTTAGTATCCTCAGTATCCAGTAAGGTCTGTGTCTCCTGGCTGAGAGTAGTTAGTATCCTCAGTAGCCAGTATGGTCTGTGTCTCCTGGCTGAGAGTAGTTAGTATCCTCAGTATCCAGTAAGGTCTGTGTCTCCTGGCTGAGAGTAGTTAGTATCCTCAGTATCCAGTAAGGTCTGTGTCTCCTGGCTGAGAGTAGTTAGTATCCTCAGTAGCCAGTATGGTCTGTGTCTCCTGGCTGAGAGTAGTTAGTATCCTCAGTAGCCAGTATGGTCTTGTCTCCTGGCTGAGAGTAGTTAGTATCCTCAGTATCCAGTAAGGTCTGTGTCTCCTGGCTGAGAGTAGTTAGTATCCTCAGTAGCCAGTATGGTCTGTGTCTCCTGGCTGAGAGTAGTTAGTATCCTCAGTATCCAGTAAGGTCTGTGTCTCCTGGCTGAGAGTAGTTAGTATCCTCAGTATCCAGTAAGGTCTGTGTCTCCTGGCTGAGAGTAGTTAGTATCCTCAGTAGCCAGTATGGTCTGTGTCTCCTGGCTGAGAGTAGTTAGTATCCTCAGTAGCCAGTATGGTCTGTGTCTCCTGGCTGAGAGTAGTTAGTATCCTCAGTAGCCAGTATGGTCTGTGTCTCCTGGCTGAGAGTAGTTAGTATCCTCAGTAGCCAGTATGGTCTGTGTCTCCTGGCTGAGAGTAGTTAGTATCCAGTAGCCAGTATGGTCTGTGTCTCCTGGCTGAGAGTAGTTAGTATCCTCAGTAGCCAGTATGGTCTGTGTCTCCTGGCTGAGAGTAGTTAGTATCCTCAGTAGCCAGTATGGTCTGTGTCTCCTGGCTGAGAGTAGTTAGTATCCTCAGTAGCCAGTATGGTCTGTGTCTCCTGGCTGAGAGTAGTTAGTATCCTCAGTATCCAGTAAGGTCTGTGTCTCCTGGCTGAGAGTAGTTAGTATCCTCAGTAGCCAGTAAGGTCTGTGTCTCCTGGCTGAGAGTAGTTAGTATCGTCAGTAGCCAGTATGGTCTGTGTCTCCTGGCTGAGAGTAGTTAGTATCCTCAGTCAGTAGCCAGTAGTTAGGTCTGTGTCTCCTGGCTGAGAGTAGTTAGTATCGTCAGTAGCCAGTAAGGTCTGTGTCTCCTGGCTGAGAGTAGTTAGTATCCTCAGTAGCCAGTATGGTCTGTGTCTCCTGGCTGAGAGTAGTTAGTATCCTCAGTAGCCAGTAAGGTCTCTATGATATTACAAGCACGGTCCTATATCTCCGATTGCCCCCAGTTGTGATGAGGTAATGTTCCCAGTACCCCCCGTGTCTGTGAGTGACCCCAGTACCTGCAGCACCAACTTCTACAGATTCAAACTGCGCCGCCTGACGTCACCAGAGCGGCCACCAATAGCAGGCGTGCAGCCATTAGAGCTCTAGTCACCAAAGACTCAACCGCGAACTGCATCCTAACACACACACAATCATTGTAAAGCGTGCATTGCTACAGTGTGAGTAAAGGAGAACTCCAGGAAATCCGAGCTAAACAACTGCAGGTTAGACTGTGCGGTCTGGAGACATCGGTTATCACCACAGTGTTGATAATGGTGTTTAGAACTCTAATATTGACCTACCTGAGCCATACAATAATTTAAACCTGAATACCGCACTCTATGCATTACTTATGCATGCCAAGATAAATCAGAGATGAGTTTTGAAAAAAATAATTTATTGATTACTAACCCAGTGTAATTTAAAAAGTTACTAAAGATGATTGGTGACCTTAAAGGACCACTATAGGCACCCAGACCATTTCAGCTTAATGAAGTGGTCTGGGTGCCAGGTCCAGCTAGGATTAACCCTTTTTGCAGTAAACATAGCAGCTTCAGAGAAACTGCTGTGTTTACAAATGGGTTAATTCAGCCTCTAGTGGCTGTCTCATAGAAAATCACAGTGAGAAGACGCCAGCGTCCATAGGAAACATTGTGAATGCTTTCCTATGGACTGGCTGAATGCGCGCGCAGCTCTTGCCGCGCATGCGCATTCAGCCGAAGAGGAGGAGGAGAGCTCCCCGCCCAGCGCTGGAGAAAGGTAAGTTTAACCCCTTCCTCTCCCCAGACCCCTACGGGAGGGGGACCCTGAGGATGGGGGCACCCTCAGGGCACTATAGTGCCAGGAAAACGAATATGTTTTCCTGGCACTATAGTGGTCCTTTAACCTGAATTGATATATCATACACAAAGAAAAAAATTCATAATATATACAGAAAATATTTACAACCACTGTCCATCCCTTCATAATTTCATATATCGTACACCAAGTATAAATTCATAATATGTACAAAGCGTATATACACAACTAATCACAGTCCTGATATCCTGTACGTGCAAGAAAAAGATTTCCTAGGTGGATCCACCACCTGTTTAAGATGATTTCTAGGCCATAGGTCAATGAAAAAAAAGGATAAAAAAACAAAATCATGAAAAATGGAAAAAAGAAAAAAACCCACAAAAATAACAGGAATAAAAGGGGGGGGGGGGTGGAATAAGGCAAAAATGTCTATAAGGTAGTCCAATCATGAAGCGTAGTGCACTGAAAATTGCTTTATCTTTGGGTGGATCTCACCAAAAGTAGTTCTATCTTCACAGGGATGGGCTGTAGTAGTGTTGAAGTTTGTCCCAAATTGTGAAAGGGGTAAACCAATAGAGCAGTCTGTAAAGATATGAAATATTTAACTCTTTTTGTTTCATATGCTTTAAAATAATGTTTGAAATAATTATGCTGATGTATGGCATATGTATTCTGTAACATGCTTTTGAGAGGCCTCCCTTCTACAGGATGTATGACCTCGCTCGACCTCAGGATGTTCCTGTCCCGTCTTTATTCAAATGCTTATCTTTTAATGTCAGACAAGTATGTACTATTAACTACAAGGAAACGATAAATCTCGCTGCTTGTGTGACAAACTGTGTTTAAATGCTAGCCCTGAAAATATACTCACTGAGAACTTGTTAAGCACTCTTTCGTGTCTGTGTCTTAATTTGCTAAACAAGAACTCCCGTGGTGATCGGAGAATCAAGGGGAGTTGAGTCCAGAACAGCATGAACCCTTTCACAGTCTGGAGGAGAGTTCTCCTAAACCTTTAGGTTATGTTGCAGTAAAGTCCTCATATCAGGTAACGGGTAGGCAGCGAACAATCCTGAGAGGAATCAGCTGATCGTCAACGGATGAGCGAGGAGAATCAGCTGATCGGCAGCAAGAACGGGCTGCGCGCTCGGGACATCCACATCCCTTCGAAGGCCCCTGCACTGAACAAACGAAAGGGCTGCGTTTAAATATCCCAGATTGGCGGCTATTACGGATTGCTTCCACCTCCCTTACTACTTCCGCCTTGCCGTGGTGACGTCGCCGTGCGTCACCGCATCACGTGTTATTGAACAGGCATTATTGTCCATGTCATACAGGGCAATGCATAATAAAGAAATGACAATTTAAATGATATCCTATACGGACATATGGGAAACAGCATGACATTAAGACCCAATTGCTACATTATATTAGATGATAAATCCTATGGAGATACTCAGTCCTATAGCAAGGCAGAAATAATATCAAGGGCAGAAGTGCATTATTTAATAAAGTCTAACACAGCTCTTAAAGTGCTTTAACCCCTTAAGGACCAAACATCTGGAATAAAAGGGAATCATGACATGTCACACATGTCATGTGTTCTTAAGGGGTAAAGGGACAGGTGGTCCTGCCTCTAGCAGTGTACAAGACAAACTGAGACCATAACTCTGATAGGGAACAGATAACTATATACAAATATATACCTCATACAGAGGAGGCATGACTTGTCGCTCACCTGCAGCAGATGATCAAAGGGAGAATCATACGGAGATTGTGATTGTGTAAGAGCTAGTCGAATGGCCAGCTGTAAAAAATAGGAAAATGAAACAAGAAGTATATTTAGAAACAAATATAATAAGAAATCCTATAACATGTAACTTACTCGTCGTGTAGTCACCCAATCTGTCCCAGGGCATACAACGTGAGAGACCCTGAACCAATGCCAGGTAGCGGACCCATGTGGGTCAGAGTGTAGGCGGAAAAGAGGATCGGACCATTCCTGGTCAAATTGAGTCAATGTAAGGAGCACAAGGTACAAAGCAAGTATCAATAAGCTGTAAAGATTGATTATAAAAAGTGTTTTAGTTCATAGTCTTCGTTCAACCAGGAAGGTGACAGAGTCTCTAGGATACTAATCCATTTAGTTTCCTTTTGCAATAAAAGCTTCTGTCTGTCCCGGCCCCTCCGTAAGGGTGGAACTCTGTCTATGACCTGGAACCTTAACTGATTCACACTGTGGCCTTGAGATTTAAAATGTCTGGGTACCGGAGCTTCACAATGCCACGTTGTAGGGCCGCCCTAATACTCCTTTTATGCTTCCCTATGCGCTCTTTAACCGGCCGGATGGTCTCCCCCACGTATACATACCCACAAGGACATTTTAAGATATTAAAATCAGAGTTACACGTATAGTAGTCCTTAATGAAAATTTTCTTGCCAGATCGAGGGTGAACAAAATACTGCCCCTTGATCACACTACTGCAATGTGAGCAACTAAGGCATGGAAACATACCTTTCTTAGGTTCGGAAAATAATCTAGTCTGTTTCTTGAAGCTTCCAATGTCTGACTGCACCAAGATATCCTTCAAATTAGGAGCCCTTTGGTACAAAAAAAGTGGTGGGTTTTGGAATATCGGAGGTAATTGTAGGTCCCCCTCAAAAAGCTGCCAATGTTTCAATATGACCCTCCGTATATCTCTATTCAATGGGGTATATGGTGATACAAAGGCTAACCTCTCTGTTTTACTGACTGTTCTTGAACCAAAAAGAGTTTCCTGCCATGTGAAATTTTCAACTTTATGTCTCTGATTTAAGACTATATGTGCACGATAACCTCTATCCATGAATTTTTGTGCCATAAAGTCCAATCCTGTGACTACCTTTTCTTCCTGTGATACAATCCTTTTTACCCTTAACAATTGGCTATAGGGTAAACCATCCTTAAGGTGGGTCGGATGAAAGCTAGTATATGTCAGTAAATTATTATGGTCAGTCGGTTTAATGTGTAAGTCACTGGGGAGTCGGTCGTGTACTCTTTGCACTTGGACGTCCAAAAAAGGGACCGTTACCATGTCACAGCACATGGTAAATTTGATATTGGGATCTTGTGTATTTAATGAATCATGAAACTCCTGCAGTTGGGCCCTAGTGCCGCCCCAACATACGAACACGTCATCTATATACCGTTTCCATACCAAACATTTGTTAAATAAAGGGTGTTGGTAGATACACATCTCTTCCATGAGATTCATATAAATGTTAGCGTATGTTGGAGCAACATTCAAGCCCATGGCTGTGCCCTTAATCTGTTTGTAATATTTGTCCTCAAACAAGAAATAATGTTCTGTTAAAATAAAAGTAAGTAGTTCCCTGATGTATTTTCTAGTGTCCTCTTGTTGGCCCAAATTAGGGTCATTATCAAGTGTCCAATCGACTGCCTCTATTCCTCTCTTGTGATCTATTGAGGTGTATAGTGATTGGACGTCCATAGTCACTAACCAAAAGTCACCTGTTAGCACCTGTATGTCTCCTATAAGCTTCAAAAAAGTTGTGGTGTCCTTGAGGTATGATTTTTGCAAAAGGACATATTTGATAAGAAATTTATCAAGAATTTCTGCCGGGTTTACATAGCAAATGAAGTTATCTTGTTGATTTTTACAGAGTTACATAGCTGAAAAGAGACTTGCGTCCATCAAGTTCAGCCTTCCTCAAATATGTTTTTGCTGTTGATCCAAAAGAAGGCAAAAAACTTAGTCTGAAGCGCTTCCAATTTTGCAACAAACTAGGAAAAAAAAGTCTCCTTGATCCGCTATTACACGACTAATTAGAAATTATATCCCTGCATGTTATGTTTTTGCAAGTATTTATCCAATTGCAGTTTAAACATCTGTATAGACTCTGACAAAACCACCTCTTCAGGCAAAGAATTCCATATCCTTATTGCTCTTACTGTAAAAAAAACCTTTTCTTTGCCTTAGATGAAATCTCCTTTCTTCCAGCCTAAATGTGTGACCTCGTGTCCTATGTGTAGCCCTGTTTATGAATAGATTTCCAGATAATGGTTTGTACTGGCCCCGAATATATTTGTATAATGTTATCATATCCCCTCTCAGGCACTGTTTTTCCAAACTAAATAGATTTAATTTTTGAAATATTTCTTCATAACTAAAATGCTCTATTCCTTTTATCAATTTTGTAGCTCGTCTCTGCACTTTTTCTAGTGCCATGATATCTTTCTTTAGAACAGGTGTCCAAAATTGCACAGGATATTCAAGGTGTGGTCTTACCAGCGATTTATAAAGAGGCAAAATTATATTTTCATTTCGAGAATTTATGCCCCTCTTTATACATGACAAAACCTTACTGGCCTTAGCAACGGCAGATTGACATTGCATATTGCTGCCTAATTTGTTGTCTATGACAATTCCAAATCCTTCTCGTGTGTGGTTATCCCTAGTTCACCACCATTTACAGTGTAAATTGCTTGTGCATTCTTAACCCCGAAGTGCATAACTTTGCATTTCTCTACGGTAAATTTCATCTGCCATTTTAGTGCCCAGTCCCCCAATCTATCCAAATCCCTCTGCAGCAAGGCAATATCCTGCTCACATTTTATTACTTTACAAAGTTTTGTGTCATCTGCAAACATTGATACATGGCTTTCAATGCCCATTTCAAGATAATTTATAAATAGGTTAAATGGAAGCGGTCCCAAAACAGAACCCTGAGGGACACCACTTACCACTTTTGTCCAGCTTGAAAATGTACCATTAATGACAACTCATTGTACTCTATCCTTAAGCCAATGTTCTACCCAAGAACAAGAATTTTCATCTAGACCAGTGATGGCGAACCTATGGCACGCGTGCCACAGGTGGCACGCCGGGTCCTCTCTGTGGGCACGCGTCCATAGGTTGCCGGGAGAGGGGGCCGCTGGCTGTCTGCAGTGTAGGCACCTGCCTGCCCGAAACGGCAGGTGCCTACTCTGCTTCCGTGTCGGGAGGCAGGGGGAGGGCTTAAGGAAGCAGCTCTCCTGTCCTCCCACGCGATGCTGTGTGGAGCGTTGCCGCGCGTTACCATGGCAATGCTCCACACAGCATCGCGCGGGAGTACAGGAGAGCTGCTTCACACAAACCTACTTACCACCACCAGATCACCAGGGATAGCTGTGTGTCCCCCTCCCACTCCTTCACCAAACGTAAGAGGAAGGGAGGGGCGGATACAGAATTATTAAATATATATTTTTAATGTACCCCTACCCCCCACACCACACCACCACTACCCCCCCACACACCAAACCGTCCCTACCCCCCCACACAACACGCCCACATACAGCACCCCCACACACATCACCCTACCCCCCACACAGAGCACCCCTACCCCGCACACACACAGCACCCCCACACACACGCTGCACCCCTCAGACACACACACACTGCACCTCTCAGACAGACACACACACAGCACCCCTCAGACAGACACACACACAGCACCCCTCAGACACACACACACACAGCACCCCTCACACACAGCACCCCTCACACACACAGCACTCCACACCCTTACACACAAACACATACACTGCACCCCTTAATGCAGTATGTGTGTGTGTGTATTCAGCAGTCTCTGTGTGTGTGTATTCAGCAGTCTGTGTGTGTGTATATTCAGCAGTCTGTGTGTGTGTGTGTGTGTGTGTATTCAGCAGACTGTGTGTGTGTGTGTGTGTATTCAGCAGACTGTGTATGTGTGTGTGTGTGTATTCAGAAGACTGTGTGTGTGTGTGTGTGTATTCAGCAGACTGTGTGTGTGTGTATTCAGCAGACTGTGTGTGTGTGTGTGTGTACTCAGCAGACTGTGTGTGTGTGTGTGTACTCAGCAGACAGTGTGTATGTACTCAGCAGTCTGTGTGTGTGTGTGTACTCAGCAGTCTGTGTGTATGTGTATTTAGCGGCCGGTGTGTGAATGTGTTCAGCAGTCTGTGTGTATGTATTGCATTTGTTGGAGATACTAATAAATATAAGCTTAATTTTATCTATTTATATCATTATTTAAAATTTGTATCATTGAACTCTCTGTTGTGTTCTTCTTTTAAAATAAAGTTGTTAATTAGTTCGGACAACTGTACGAGTTGTTTTTTCTAAACTTAAACCTCAGTATTTAGGTTTAATTGCCATGTTGGCACTTTGAGGGAAAAAAAGTTGGCATGTATTGCGGTTTGGGCACTCGGGCTCAAAAAGATTCTCCATCACTGATCTAGACTAATTTCTTTTAGTTTGAAGACTAACCTATTGTGAGGAACTGTATCAAATGCCTTGGCAAAATCCAAGTAGATCACATCCACTGCAACACCCTGATCTGTACTTCTACTTACTTATTCGTAGAATGCAATTGGGTTAGTTTGACATGACCTATGTTTCATAAAACCATGCTGATTATTGCTAATAACACAGTTCTTCCCAATGAATTCCTGAATATTATCCCTTAATAGCCGTTCAAATAATTTCCCAGTCACAGAAGTTAACCTCACAGGTCTATAATTTCCAGGCAAGGATTTTGGGAACAACATCTGCCTTCCTCCAATCCTCCGGTACAATACCTGAAACAAAAGAATCTTGAAAAATTAAATACAGAGGTTCACTTATTTCCCCACTTAGCTCCATAAGTACTCATGGGTGGATACCGTCAGACCCTGGAGCTTTATTTACATTAATTTTCTTTAATAGCTGTAGCACCTTGTCTTGAGTTATCCAATCACAAGTTATCTGCAAGTTTGTTGCAGCAATCATTTGATTATCTCTTGCCATAGGATCCTCATTAATATATACTGAAGAAAAATTGTTATTTAAAATTTCTGCCTTTTCCTGGTCTTCGTTAACTAACAGACCCATCTCTTTTTTCAGTGTACATACACTTTCATTTTTTGTTTTTTTAGAATTGATGTACTGCAAAAAAATTTTGGGGTTGGTTTTGCATTCTTTGGCTATCAATTTCTCATTTTCTAGTTTAGCCACTTTAATTGCCATTTTGCAAGTATTATTGGCTTCCTTATATCTTATATAGGATGCCTCTGATTTGTCCGATTTAAATGCTTTAAATGCCCTTTTCTTATTTTTAATCTCTTGTGTTGAAATATATAACCGGTCCCACTCATTATAGGCCTACCAGGAGGGAAAAGTGGATTTTGTATGGATTTTGGGGAGAGTATACAGTCCTCAGGTACTTGATGTTCATATAATGACATTCTCCCTCCGAAATAATGCCACTGGATGGAGCCCACCTGTTGAGCCTGTCTAACGTATGCTTAAGGGTGTGTGTAGGATCTTGGCTAATAGAGAGGTAGTTTGTGTCATCCCTTAATTGTGTTTCAGTTTCCTTAAATGACCACTCTAGGCACCCAGACCACTTCAGCTTAATGAAGTGGTCTGGGTGCCAGGTCCAGCTAGATAGAAACTGCTATGTTTATAAATGGGTTAATCCAGCCCTCAAATCCTCTAGTGGCTGTCTCATTGACAGCCGCTAGAAGTGCTTGCGTGATTCTCACTTATGAATGCTTTCCTATGAGACCAGCTGAATGCGCGCCGAGCTCTTGCTGCGCGTGCACATTCAGCCGAAAGGGAGGATCAGAGGCTGAGAGCTCCCTGCCCGGCGCTGGAAAAAAGGTAAGTTTTAACCCCTTCCTCTCCCCAGAGCCGGGGGGGGAGGGGGACCCTGAGGGTGGGGGCACCCTCAGGGCACTATAGTGCCAGGAAAACGAGTATGTTTTCCTGGCACTATAGTGGTCCTTTAATGTAATAAGTGCGGTCCATAATTACTAAGGCTTCCCCTTTATCTGCTGGTTTGATTATAATAGATGTATCTCTCTTCAAATTATTAATGGTAGACCAGTCTTGTTTAGTAAAGTTAACAGTTTTTCTATTGCTTCTATGTGTCTGTTGATGTTTCTTTCTAAGTTTATAGACATCTCTTTTCACTAAATTTGTAAATATATCTATTGATGCATTAACATTGTGGGGGTTGAAGGAACTTTTCGGTTTCAAACCTGTGTCTAGAGGAAGGACCACACACGAATCGATCTGAGAGGTATCAGACCCCACGCCTTCTGTGTTCACTCCCTCATAATGGGCTGTCTGTATCAGTTGTGTATTCATATTATGTGGGTCAGCTGTGGTGCCAACGTTATGTTGATGTGTAGAAAAAAAATGCACGTAATCTCAGTTGGGGAAAAAATTTGTACAAACTCACATCACACTGATGCCATTCCACATTCGGGGTAGGGATGAAGGAGAGTCCCTTATTCAGAGTCTCTTCCTCTTGTGTGGTTAATTGCCTACATGAAATATTGTGTATCAGGGACGGCGTCTGGATGGGGGAGGCTTGCCCCTCTTTCTCTCCAGTGTGCCTCTTGTTGTAACTCCCCCTCCTGATGCTTCCTCGTTTAGCGTGCCTCTCTCCAAAACAGATGCCCCCGATAATGAGGATGCAGAGGAGGAGGATGTAACTCCTTCGGTGTCCGAATGCCCTCTCTGTGTGTGTATGTCTCTATTCGGTTGGTATTGTCCGTTGTGTGTCCTGGAGTACAAGGTATAGACCTGGTCCCTCTGGTATTCCAAAACAAGGAAGTATAAGCGCTATTTGAGTATAAAATCTTAAAAATATATATAATCTAAACAGCTGCTAACCACCGTGAAAATCTTTTACAGAGTGATAGAGAATAGTAAGTGGTACCGGTGTAGCGCTTATGTGCAAAATTGAATATGAAACGAAGTTTTACCCAATTTTCTTCTATGTTAGTCAATTATTTCTTGTTAACCTTAAGGTAAAACAGAGAAAAAATACATAACATAGTGCAGATTGTATGTAAATATGTAAAAATTGATTTAAAACAAAAGCCAAATGGCAACTCACAATTTTCTGAGCTATAAATCTAGCTCAGAATTTTGGTGCTTTAGGATCCGTATAGGCGACTGGAAAGAAAAGTGAGCACTGAAAACTCCCTTTTTTTGGACTTTACTGGACTCTATTAAGCCTTATAAGTGTTTTATTTATTTATTTTTTACATATACTTCTAATAGAATTTTTTATAATGTGTAATAATTTTTAATAATAAATATACATACATTTTGATACACTTATGGCTTTTTTCCTGCTAATATAAAGAAGGAGTGTGGTCCTAAAACCACATATGCGCACTGAAGTGAGCCTATAGACTGGCTCTGGGTTTGTGAGTACCTCATTTATTACTTTTACATACCCATAATAACATCAACTATACTACACTATATACCCCCTCCTGTATCCATATAGGACTGAACTAAAGAAAGGAGAAGAAGGGAGAGGGTCGCCTATACGGATCCTAAAGCACCAAAATTCTGAGCTAGATTTATAGCTCAGAAAATTGTGAGTTGCCATTTGGCTTTTGTTTTAAATCAATTTTTACATATTTACATACAATCTGCACTATGTTATGTATTTTTTCTCTGGAGACCTCTGGTATTCCAATTCGTCTCTATGGCATTTTTTCTTTTTGAACTCTTCCGTCTCCCTCTGGTATTCTTTCAATTTCTCTTCAATTTGACTCTTAAGGGTTTAAGGGACAATAAAGCTTGTTCAATTACACGTGACACATGGTGATGTCACCACGGCAAGGCGGAAGTGGTAAGGGAGGCGGAAGCAATCCGTAATAGCCGCCAATCTGAGACATTTAAACTCAGCCCTTTTGTTTGTTCAGTGCAGGGGCCTTCGAAGGGACGTGGATGTCCCGAGCGCGCAGCCCGTTCTTGCTGCCGATCAGCTGATTCTCCTCGTTCATCCATTGCCGATCAGCTGATTCCTCTCAGGATCATTTGCTGCCGACCAGTTACCTGATATGAGGACTTTACTGCAACATAACCTAAAGGTTTAGGAGAACTCTCCTCTAGACTGCTCTATTGGTTTACCCCTTCCACAATTTGGGACAACCTTCAACACTACTACAGACCATCCCTGCTAAGATATAACTACTTTTGGTGAGATCCACCCATATATAAAGCAATTTTCAGTGCACTATGCTTCATGATTGGACTGCCTTCACTGGTGTACATACCACAGTTGCAGGGGTCGCGGCTGCGACCAGGCCCGGCCGCCATGCGACCTGGTGTCACCGGGCTGGCTGGCGGGCGCGCGAGGCAGCACTCTCCCCTAAACGCTCTCTGCCCAACTCCCTCGTGCACCGCAGTGATGCCGCAGCCCGAATATGATGTAATTCCGGCTCCGGCATCAGTGCGCCCGCCATCCAGCAGCACCACTGAACCCCAGGGAATCCCCTCAGCTCTCCCAAAGGTAAGGAGGATGGGGGATTGAATTTTAAAGAAACATGTGTGTGTGTTAGTGTTAGTTTTTGTGTGTCAGTGTGTGTGTTACTGTGTGTGTCTGCTAGTGAGTGTCAGTAAGTGTGTCAGTTTTTCTGTGTGTGTTAGTTTGTGTGTGTCTGTTATTGACTGGGTGCCTGATATTGAGTGTGTCTGCTAGTGAGTGTCAGTGTGTGTGTTAGTTTGTGTGTCAGTGAGTGTGTGTGTCTGTTAGTGTGTATCTGTTAGTGAGTCTGTTTGGTGTCTGATAATGAGTGTGTGTTTGTCAGTGAGTGTGTATGTGTGTCTGTCTGTCAGTGAGTGTGTATGTGTGTCTGTTAACTAGTGTGTATGTGTCTGTTCGTGAGAGTGCGTGTGTTTAATACCCCTTCAGCACTTACCTTTCTCCAGCGCCGGACTCCCTTGGCGCTGGGGATCCTTCCTCCCCGATCTGCCTCAGAGCTCCGAATGCGCGATCATTCAAACCGCCCATAGGAAAGCATTACTCAATGCTTTCCTATGGACGTCCAGTGTCTTCTCACTGTGATTTTCACAGTGAGAATCACGGAAGTGCCTCTAGCGGCTGTCAGTAAGACAGCCACTAGAGGCTGGATTAACCCTCAGTGAAACATAGCAGTTTCTCTGAAACTGCTATGTTTTCAGATGCAGGGTTAAAACTGGAGGGACCTGGCACCCAGACCACTTCATTTAAGTGAAGTGAACTGGGTGTCTATAGTGGTCCTTTAAGTGTATGTGTATCTGCATGCACTGGCGTACATACCGCGGTCGCAGGGGTCACAGCCCTGCGACCAGGTGCCCCCAGCCACGTGTTGCGGTCCCGGCCCGTGCAGAGTAAGTGCGCGGGGGGTGGGGGGCGGATTAATTTTCGCACCTGGGCCCCATGGGTCGTGTGTACGCCACTGATTGCCTTATAGACATTTTTGCCTTATTCCCCCTCCCTTTTATCATTTTGTGGGTTTTTTGTTTGTTTTTTTTTACATTTTTTCATGATTTTGTTTTTTATCCTTTTTCATTGTCCTAAGGCCTAGAAATCATCATCATCACCACCAACAGGTGGTGGATCCACCTAGGAAATCTTTTCCTTACATGTACAGGATATCAGGACTGTAATTAGTTATAAGTGTATATAAGCAGGGCCGGCCTTAGGCCTTTAGGCGCCCTGTGCGGAAAATCTTCACAGCGCCCCCCCGCCCACCCTGTCATTCATGTATAATTTAATGTTTGTGTTGTCTGTGTATGTGATAGGTGTGATATGTATGCTATGTGTTGGCTGTGTGTTATATTTGTAATGTTGCAGACAGCCACACACACAGGCAGGCAGCCACACACATGCACACACACAGGAAGGCAACCACACACATACACACACAGGCAGACAGCCACACACATACACACACAGGAAGACATCCACCCACACAGAGGCAGGCAGTCACACACACAGGCAGACAGTCACACACACAGGCAGACAGTCACACACACAGGCAGTCACGCACACACACACACACATAGGCAGACAGTCACACACACACAGGCAGTCAAACACACACACAGGCAGACAGTCACGCACACACACACAGGCAGTCACACACAGGCAGACAGTCACACACATAAACACAGGCAGAAAGTCATACACACACACAGAGGCAGATAGTCATACACACAGACACACAGGCAGATAGTCATACACACAGACACACACACACACACACACAGGCAGTCATACACACAGACACACAGTCACACACACATAGGCAGACAATCATACACACACACACACACACAGGCAGAGAGTTATAAACACACACACACATCCACACACACAGGCAGACATTCATATATACACACAGGCAGTCACACACACAGGCAGACAGTCATACACACACACATATACACACAGGCAGACAGTCACACACACACAGACAATCACATATAGTTACCTCTGTTCATCGTGGAGGCAGTGCAGCTCCAGGAGACTGGTTGTTGGGGAAGCAGGGACTCCTTCCTGCTTCCCCTGCAGCAGATATTCTGCACTTTTAGCTCTGCCCCGCCGCATGGGATGCTCCGCCCCTCCACCCAGGAAGCTCTGCCCCACCACATGGGAAGCTCCGTACCTGTCGCAAATTTTTTTCTTTTTATTTATCCCGGCCGGCTATGCGCGAGCTGTGTCGGCCACATGGTGCCCCCTGCTCCATGGCGCCCTGTGAGGCCGCACAGCTCACACACCCCTAAGGGCGGCCCTGTATATAAGCTTTGTACATATTATGAATTTATACTTGGTGTACGATATATGAAATTATGAAGGGATGGCCAGTGGTTGTAAATATTTTCTGCATATATTATGAATTTTTTTGATGTGTATGATATATCAACTCAGGTTAAAGTCACCTATCATCTTTATTAACTTTTTGAATTACACTGGGTTAGTAATCAATAAATGAATTTTTGCAAAACTCATCTATGATTTATCTTGGCATGCATAAGTAATGCATAGAGAGCGGTATTCAGGTTTAAATTATTGCATATGTTTTGAGGTCATATTGGCGTTAACCTCGAATACCTGCACCTACATGTGATTGAGTGCCAGCGCAATTTGGATTTGTTTCTACCTGAGCTATGGGATTGTCTGCTCCTGGAGCTCTGCATTCAGCAATACACATGATTTATTTACTATTAGTTACCACCCAGTGCTCGGGGGCTGGGTAACTATACACATAACTTATTTATTATTAGTTACCATCCAGTGCTCGGGGTCTGGGTAACTATACACATAACTTATTTATTATTAGTTACCACCCAGTGCTCGGGGACAGGGTAACTATACATATAACTTATTTACTATTTGTTACCATCCAGGTCTCAGGGGCTGGGTAACTATACACATAACTTATTTACTATTAGTGACCACCCAGTGCTCGGGGGCTGGGTAACTATACACATAACTTATTTACTATTAGTGACCACCCAGTGCTCGGGGGCTGGGTAACTATACATATAACTTATTTACTATTAGTTACCACCCAGTGCTCGGGGGCTGGGTAACTATACATATAACTTATTTACTATTTGTTACCATCCAGGTCTCAGGGGCTGGGTAACTATACACATAACTTATTTACTATTAGTGACCACCCAGTGCTCGGGGGCTGGGTAACTATACATATAACTTATTTACTATTAGTTACCACCCAGTGCTCGGGGGCTGGGTAACTATACATATAACTTATTTACTATTTGTTACCATCCAGGTCTCAGGGGCTGGGTAACTATACACATAACTTATTTACTATTAGTGACCACCCAGTGCTCGGGGGCTGGGTAACTATATACATAACTTATTTACTATTAGTGACCACCCAGTGCTCAGGGGCTGGGTAACTTCCTATCCACATAACTTGTTATTCACCCAGTTTCTTATTCAGTGGTTCAAGTTCGATTTTTATACATTCATATACATTGTTTATACATCACTAACCAACAGGCTGAACAATGAATTATTTATACATCAATTTCAAATGATGAATAGATCGAGAGATGTGACACCAAGTGTGGAATCCTAAAATCTCATGCATTTCACAGGGACATTCTGACCAAGGTTTTCTGTGAGTTAATGATCTTTGTTAACTCTGTCATAAAGTGTCTTTTATTTCTTTAATACATTTTATAACATTTTGTAATTGTCTTATTTATTGTTAATTTATTTCCTTGTATAATATTATAAAGAGCTGTAGAATAAGTTGGCGCTATATAAATGCCAATAATAATATGTGTATACTTTTCTTTTTTCTACTTTTTTTTTTTAAAGTAATTTTGGGTCATAAATAGAAAGGAGCAGTATGCCTCAGTGGTCACTAGGGTCTATTTGTATTCTTTAAACATTGTTCAGCGGAGATTTATGGTCTAAGTACTTAATAATACCCAAGATAATTTTCACTCATGACATAAAATATCTGGATCTGCTTTTCAGGGAGATGAGAGAGCTCAGACAAAGTTATGTCGGTTACATAAATTGGAAAAATCTTATGTCAAGCTTCCAGAATCTAACTTCCTAGCTGCCTTCTTGACAGCTATGTGGTCCTGGCTGGGTAGAAGCTACAGAAGTTTCTACATTTCACACTTTGTAATCATAGCCGAACTGGGGATACCAAAGCAGCCCTGGAAAAAAAATCTATGCCAGTCCCAAAAGTCATTGCGCCATATATTGTCGCATGTAATATGTAAGGCTATATCTTGCCACCCTAGATGATT